TAAGCTAAGAAATATTTCAAGACAAGTAAATTTTAATTACTTCAAGTAAAATAAAGCTTCACACACAACCGATTCTTTTTTACTTCAGGTTATTTTCCCACGCAACAAAATTAAGATTGATTGACATGTCTCGCCTTTCTCAAAGCTCAAGAAACCGCAAAACCGCAAGTCAGCTAAGTCGGTCATAAGGATGGTTTTCAAGTCGCTTGAAACTTTCTTGAATCGTTTCAACTGTCCGACTTTAATGAGATGCAAAGCAAAGTTACTTGAGATTTTACTTAGGCCTTCACACACGAATTTTTGGTAAAGTAAAACTTAGCGGTTCTTAAGTCTTACTTAACAGCCTAGTGTAAAGACAACCAATATTATAAACGTGAGACGATACTTGAGCGTCTTATTTACGATGCGCCAGACAAGCAACCAGCAATGTTAACCGTCTCTGATTGGATTCAAATCCCTTCCAAAACGACTCATAAAGACACAGGAACAAAGGAAAATCCATCTTATTATTTTATTAGCTAATACAGCGTAAATACATCTAAATTTTTCTATTAGCTAATACAGCGTTCGGGCTCCCTGTGGTGCTAGTAGAGAGACAAATGCATTGAAGTCAGATTCCTGCTCGACATTTTAGGTCAAAGCAAAAAAAATAAAGCCAAAATCGTGACCGAATATAGAATGTTAACTGTCATTTAAAAGAGAAGACTGCCCACCGATCGAGCGAGGTACAGGTAACGGAGCATCGAAACAATTATCCTTCTGACATGATCGTTCACCTGTGTCTTCTAAGTACTTGCTGCCATCGCTCTTAGCACGCAAGAGTTTGCTCAACTTTGCCTTCCCTTTCCACACAATCAACGTTCACCTCAAAACACAGAACAGATGTAAATTAAGCGTTTGCAGTAAGTTTACTATTGACGATTAAAACATCGCGTGACTTGCATACGCACACATCATTTGATACGAATATAAAAAGAAAATACTGAAGTTTTTTTTTTTTTCGTGGCGAGACGTCCATATTCGGTGAATCATAAATTGCACTGTACATTTTCCCGCCTATCGTTATCGGCTCTAATTTCGATCAAAGAATGAGAGATAATGATCAGATAAAGTTTTGCCTTACTGAGGAAAGTAAAAAACGAGACCGGTCTTTGAAAACTAAAGAGTAAAAAATCCTACGTTTGAAAGCTAGCCTTCCCTATATACTCTTTAGGGGGTCGGATACAATGCCGAATTCAATTCCCCTAACATTGTATGAAATAAATGCCCATATCGCCAATAAACATCTAATGCGTCCACAGTTGTGAACAACATAACACATTGCCAGGAACGTTTACTTCTCAGGGGCACCCAACGTCAGTTTTAGGAAAATATCTGTTCGGAGGACGATTTGAGATCTAGAATTTTCGGAACATTTGTTGTAAAATTTCTTGCTTGCTGTCTCCTAGGATTTTCGAACATCTAAAAAATGGTATAATTGCCCATTTTTAACGGATTCTTACCCTAAAAAGGCCACCTAGACTTTTCGAGAGCCTTTTTCTGGCTGAAATTTTCGAAAAGGTATTAAGTTTTTATCCTTATAATTTCCGAATCACTAGATTTTTGGCTAGGAAATCAGAACAGAAGAAAAAAATCTGGGGGCTAAAAATATGCCTATATCTACAGTTTAAATGCTAAAATACGTTTAACAATGCTATGTGTAACTGGTCTTGAACTATATTCTCGTTGGGTGCCCCTGACTTCTATCACTATCGGGGGCATCCAACGACGGTTTCTTCCTAAATGCATTGAAAAGTCTTTTAGGCTATCCAGAGTACTCTTAGATCTCTAGACTATGCATTCTCAGCGGCGCTATAAAATTTGTATCTGTTTGGTCATCCTAAGAAGGCTTGAGGCTTTTCGAAACTACAACCATTAGGACCTCAATGTTATTTTTCCGAAAAGTCTAGATGCAGTTGAACGTTTTACGAAAGTGAGAAATTTTCTTATTCCTCACTCCATCATATTTTTGAATCCGAAAATTTTAGGTTTCCTTTTTCTACGAAAATTAGCCTAACATGGGGAGTAAAATATGAAAAATCAAACTTCAGAAAATCGTAGATCTTAGATTTTAAGTTTCGAAAATCGGTAATGATCAGGAGTTATGGTAGGACGCAACTACCTCTTTTGAATTCCGCTTCTAAGTTTGTTTTTGCGCCAAACCTGTTTCGACCTTAAACGGTTGAAAGAATAACCCCAGGAGGCAATTTTAAGTTTGCCATCATGAGAACTAGATCTCGTTAAATCAGACCCTGAGGTGATTATTAGCCTGCTAATACAGCACCTCTTATCGCTGGTTGGCTCATTATTTACCTCGAAAATTTGTCTCTGTATTTGTAACCACAATCACTGAAGCAACTGCTTATGACGAGCACTTCAATGAATGCTTAGTTAAAAATAGTTTTAACACGCATCTCTAAGTGCTTGTAAAGCTCGTCAAATTCGCTCTTTTCCTTTTAACCAAATCCATTTCTATTTTAATTAGTTATATGAAGCAGACACCGATATTTGTCTTATAGTTTCTAATCGACGTTATGAAATTTCGCGTGCATGAGTTGCATGGACAACAGACCACTTAAGAGGGCTTTCAATTGAAAGTTCATGCTTGAATGAAAAGTCCATATTTTCCCAAATAATCACTAGCCCATGAATGAGAAATGTTCATTAAATGAAGTGTCCATTTTCAGTGAGCTCAAAAGCGGAGCAAAAACGTGAGTAATCTTAAAAACCTCGGGACTTTATTCATGCGCTAGAAAGCAAAGTTTTTCAAATGCTATACATGCAGCGTGAAATCAGTAGGATGTTTATTACGTAATATAAAAAAATATCATTCCACATATATTTAATGAGGTGGAGTAAAATCAAGGTGATGCGTGCATGGTTGTAGCGGTATTCACATTCACAAAAGACATGCTTTGACCAGGTGTGGCTTAAAAGGACAGTTTGTGTCTCCTAGTACAAACTTCTGTGAGAATGGAAAGCTCATACAGCCGGTTTGCTCTTTGTCATACACCCCAATCGCATTCATTGAACCACATCAATATCAATTTCACTTCGTCATGGAAAAGCAGTACAACTGTTTGTTGCCAACATCAAAAATCGTGGGTAGTTTCTACGAGAATGTTTATTCCCCAGTACTTCAGGCACTTCCGTGGCTAGTCTGAAAGCATGACCTAAGGACAGCTTCCGAGAACATTCTTGGTAACTTGGCCTTATTTTGCGTACGAAGTTTCTACCTATAAGCACCGAGACAAAAGCAAACAGACTATAGAACGTTTTGGTGCGAGAAGAAAGGAGCTGAAAGACATTTGCGAAAAAATGAAAGATAAGTTGCGACCAATTCTTGCGATGGCGCCTGATGGAAATGGAACCTGGGAAAAACTGCAAGAAATGGCACTTGAATGGAAAGAACTTTCTCATCATAATTTTCTTCCACATCGAATGTACCATGCTGTGGAATATTACTTTGTGCAGTGAGCCAAGAAGCTTGGTAAACGTCAGTGCAGGCGAAGCGTTTCTTGCGAAACCGATTGCCGAAGAAGTCAAAGTTTTAATTGAAAAAGGAGAGAGTGATCATGCTGTTGCCTTGGTCTTTGTGACTGAGGGAAATTGGTTCCACAGAGCTTTTCTAAACACGCTTCGTTGCATCACAGACGGCCATAGATTTGTAGCTAGAGATTCGAATTTAACTCCGGAAACAGAGCAATGAGAAGAATTACACCTGTGGTGAACACGTTCACGGTGGTTACTTAGCTGTTATTATTATTATGCAATAGATGAACTAACTTTATCCTTCGCCGGCGATCGTTTGCTATTGAGGGAAGGTTAGCAACGCTAATACCAAGGCCAAAACACTGGCACCATTGAGTCGAATATGTGCACTTCAAGTAAGGCATAATCACTGTTTTTGTCGTAAAATGTCATGGAAGGGTTTTCGATTTTGTGAGTTAGGCTTAAAATGACTTTGAATTCTTGCCAATCTTGAGTTGTGAGGACTGTTGAAACTTCTGGGCTGTTTTCTGGTTGCCCAGTGTTTAACGCATTAAAAAAAATGTTTGTTTCCTGATTTTTGGTATTTTCCGTCACACATATGAATATTCCTTTGAGTCTCTTAGTGTATTCATTTCGCATTTTGCATCTTATGTTCTCACAACAACCAAACTATGGTTCAGTAAAAAAGGCTTTATTTAAGCAGCTTAATTTTACTGTCAGTGAGCCACGTTAACAACAGTTAAGTTCTATCAGTGCTGAATCCATAGTTGCAAAAGATTCTGCGCTTGGCAAATTAGTCAATACAAGGAGGATATAAAAATTCTCCACCTCGTTATCAGTGGCTAAATATACTCAAATTTGCAAAACATCACTACCTTTTATATCTCTCGCTGTCAATTTCGCTTTCTTGATAAGACCGAAGACTGTATTACGAGAACCAAAACAAAACAAAACAAAACAAACGATTTCGATGTGCTGGAGATCTAAGAACAGTGTGCTTCTGATTCGTTCAGATAATTAAATCTCGAAGTGTGCTTACAAAGTAAGGGTCCAATACGAAGCGAAGTCCTTCGTGGGGGTTTTCCTTTGCATAAAAGTTTATTACGTCTTGGTCGGTTTTCCCTTGACACATCATGTCTACGATGTTTTCTTGGATTAGCTTGGCCAGTAACAGTATGTCATCTTGTAAATCCGGTAAATCTCTGCTTCTTAAGAAAACGTGCACTTGAGCCTGACTTTTACCCCGTGTAAAAGCCTTTATTGCAAAATAAAAGGCAGTTGAATGCTTGTCGAAATTCTTGGCAAGGTTTACCCAGTCGTCTGATATGTCTTTTAGCTGCTGATACTTTCCCACCTGCAAGTCCAGCGATTTAAGGAGACGGTCGAGAGAGTCTTTCATTTTCGTCACCGCAAGGTCGGCATCTTGCCTTTTCTTGTTCACCTCTTCAATTGCTTCATTTAGCTTTTCTAACTTAGTGATACTGTCGTAGAGTGTCAGGCCAAATCCTGCTACAGCAACGAGAGGCATAACTCCACTTGCAACAGTGCCAATTCCAGCCACAACTCCGTCTGCTAACGCAAGCTTCGCAAAAACGAGACCAATAGAGACAAGGTCAGCAACACTCACCAGTGCTGATGTTCCCCCAAGGGCCCAGCCTGCATACCGCACGGCCTTATCAGGATCATTTACGTTTAGGTTCAAAACTTGGTTCAGTTTTTTAACAACATCAATTGGCATTCTGGTCATGCTCTGTTTAAGGAGTTCGAGGCTAGAGTTGACGACTTTATAGACATTCTGATGCAAGTCGTTAGCGCTGTCTATGGCTGACTGTGCCTCATCAATTGCTAGCTTCAGTTCTTCCTGTTTCTCTCTTTCGGCGATAGAGAAGCATACATTATAAGCTACGGTAGCTGCTGCTGCAACCGCAGCTATTGTGATCCCGATAATCATTGGCAAATGTACAAAGGTTTAAGCTAATTCCTCAGCTTGATAAGAACCCTTCGTTCACAAATGTGTGTCGTATACAATGGTCTCTTTCTCACAAGGTCTAACTTAATAAATATAAATGGTCACGTGGACTTGTCTCAATAATCAGTGGAGCTGTACAAAATATTACTTTAATTTTTACTCGTATTTGTTTCAGAAAAACCCTGATTTATTGTCGTGGCGTTTTTTGTCTTAATACAATCTAAAACACAACACCGCTTTCTACCAAAGTCAAGTACAAAAACGCAAGAACCGTATAAATGTTTTGCAAATAGCCATAGAACGAAGAAGACGGAATAAGCACATATCGGTAACGCTGGTGTAATTTGAAGAATAATGAACAAAGGAAAGAAAATCGTACAGTTCTCTTTTGTTTGAGATAAGAGTAAAAAGTGGAATGCGCAGTCTTAAGTTGACGCAGAAATTCACCACGATAGCTTAGTCTTTTCGGGGGTAAATATATGCAGCCCTTCACTCGTATGCACACAGCAATTTATTTAACAGCAGCAAAAAAGTTGTCATTCAAACTGTAACAGATTAAACCGGCTATAACTATTCTGCTTTGTGGCATTTTTTTTCCAAACCTTTACATATACGTTGTAATCCAGCCGCTTTGAACGAGGCCTATAACATGAGATGTGTAACACAAATATGAACACTGTCAACATATACGACAATATGTTCTCAAACTCATTAATTATTCATGTGCTGATGACCCAATCAGCGTGCATCAATTGAGTCAGGTGCATGTATTTTGATACCCAATGAACGTACCGAGCAAGACGCATTCGATTAGTTCAAAAACTGATCAAGACACTGATCAAGAAACTTGATTTTTAATCAGTCTTAATACTAGATACAGTATATTTGCCGCTTCAGTCATTACTAACAACAACAATAGGGCAGCATATTATTCTTCCTTAGACGCCGTAACATTAATTGTACAGTTTTGAAATTTTCCTTTCTGGAAAACAACACACCAATTCAATTCCCAAAACAGTGCATTTTAAAATTCTGAACAGTGCGGTCTAAAAGTTGTCAATTACCTTTTGTCACTAGCGTCAAAGAGGATTCGGATCTATTTTTTCTCCTCCAACGCTTGAGCGCACAAATGATACCATAAACAGTCTTGGGAGGGTACCTTCCACCAGTCTTTTTAGCTACCTCCATCACGAATTTTGACAACCAATAGTTCAGCGACAGAGCATCCATTCCGGCAATATTTGCGCTTAGAGCGGTAACCTTGTGTAAATCGTAGTCCTTGAAGAGACCACCACAATCTAATACCGGAACTTGAACCTCTCGTAACCTATGCCAATCGGCAAAAATGCTTACAGCCCACTTGTTTTTATACTTAGTTGAAGCTGGAACGGCGTCATTCACCAGAACATTTTCTTGAAAAGAAGTTTTAGGAACGCGAAATCGTTCTGATCCGGACTCGACCTCCATCACGCGCCGTAATGTTAATATACTAAAAAACCCTACAGCATGGTCGCATATTAAATATTCATTTGATTTACCACGAATAAGAAACAAATAATAGCCTATTGAGCTCGTCTTCTAATTACCTATTCTTCGGAAATAATTCCACTCAATTCTCACACTAGTTTGAGAAGCCATGTCAAAAACTCGTGCTTCGTGTTTCATCAGCGGTTCCAGACACCTCGAAATAATAAAAGAACTCGGCCTGTGGCCTCGTGCTTTCATCTGTTTCTCGGTGTCTGGAACCCCTGATGAAACACTCGCACTCGTTTTTGACTGGGTCACAGTTAATATGCAAATTGTATTAGTAAAGCAAACACTTAAATTGTAATAAGAGGGATTGTTTTTAAAATCAATTGCTTCCCTCCACCGGCTTCCTTCGTAGTTATATTTTCAGTTACCAATCAGAATGGTATCTTTCAGGGGCACCCAACGAGAATAGAGTTTAAAACTACTTAAGAGCGACGGTCAGGAAAAATCGACCAAAATCTTAATTTCGTGGCAAGATTTGAAAAATCAGTTTCTTTCATTTTTTGTTCATAGATAGCTTTTAGGTAGATAAGAAACCTGAAGTAGATTGTTCCTGCCGAAAGCTTTTCATTTGTGAGAAAAAAATAGAAGATCGGTGTTCGATGTCGGAGTCTCAAACTACCCTCATTTTTAACCTGGAATTCGCTAACATTAACTTTCCTTGCGTTCGAAAACGAAGCAGCATGGAGAAATTTGGACACTTACCATTAACAGAAAAATTATGTTTCTTCCACTAAAAGATACTTTCCGGGCAATAGCGAAGCTCGTCGTACTGAAATAATTCAAAAATGAGGGATAGGTTTTCAGGATAACGAAAACTTATTAAGTTCGTTACTCATTTTCGCGGACGGCAATATTTAACACGTGGTTTAACTCCAAATTCTCTTAATACTATTTAAATCACACATTTAGACATTCATTTAAAGAGGGTCCTGAATGGGGGGGGGGGGGGGGGGGGGGGGGGGGGGGGNTCGGAATCTCACTTCCCAGTGCTCAAATCCCATTCTCACTAGCAGAAATTGGAAAAAATCCCAGTGTTATACATACCACCCCTTTTCGCTTCGCATCCGCAAAATTACGGCTTCTAAATACGACCCAACAAAGACCCAAAAATTCACAAGGATTTACAAAGATGTTCTGAAGATAACAGGATCATTTCAGACAGTAATAAAACTTTCAAGAAGCGAGTTTATAGCGATTAATCCCTGCCACTTCACATTCCTGCCATTCCTGCCATTCTTGCCATTCCTTTTTTGTCACTCTCAGATTCATTGTTGTTACTTTTCGCACTTTCCTGTGGCGGTTGAATTTGCAATGAAGTAGATGCTTGTGGGTCGTCTGTTTTTTGGCAAAGACGGCGAGTTCTGCCGTAAAACGATATTTACAGAACCTTTCTGAGATGTGACTCCACGTTGAATCACTCCATTCAGAAAGTGAAGTGTACGAACTCTTCTGGAACATTTCCCATTGATCTTTAGTTCTTATGACGAAGAGGGCTGTTCGTGAACATCCCGCTTCAATAAAGTCGATGTAAAACACTTCGAGAGCAAAATCTGCAAAAACCCTTCGTCTACTCGATTCATCTATGCCACACATTTTTCGTATATTTTTCTCCATCTGAGTTGTTGAGCAATCCAACGGTAAATTCAATTTGCAGTTTTCTGTGTGTATAACTACATTTTTAGTACAAAAGTACTTAATTTCTACGACAACAGTGCGAATCGTTCATTCTGTTTGTATCATACAAATACACATGCCATGTAGACTTTTGGTTTTACTCTCACCGCTGTGCACAAATATCGTTGACCGTAAATCGGGGCCATTCGGGGGAAACCTAGATAAAAATGCTAAAAATTGACTAGAACAAGGTGCATTAGCAATTTCCTGACGTTTCTTAACTCCAGGAAATATGTGATGCCTCGACTGGTCATGGTTCCAAACTATTTATCCCATTCCCATTTTTTACATTCTATTCCCATTCCCAGTGACCAAATCCTAGTCCCAGTAGCTTAAATCCCATTTTCTCAGGGCAAAAACCGGCCAATCCCAGTTCCCATTTTACCCCTTCAGGACCCTCTTTAAAACATTCCTGGGAACTGGCTTGGGTTATTGAATGTAATCTCTGTAAGACACCATCGAAGTTCAGGAATTTTAATGGTAGGCCGGCGTAATTGTGTGAACACTTCCAAATTCGAAACGCACTAAAGTAGATATTTACAGCCTGTAGGCTCGTTTTTTGTACTTCTTGTAGGTTTGCCCATTGCAAAATTCCTTTTTCTAGTCAAAGAGTGGAGTAAAAAGGTGAAACTGGGCCAATTTTAGCCATTTTGAAACACTGAACTCTACCAGACGGCGACTCTGCGTGACAATCTGTTCCGTTACTGCACGTGACATAACGTACGTTTGAAGAGACGGAGCCGCAAAATGATAGTCACGGAATCACGGTAGTAACGCAACGCAGTTCTTAAAAGCATAACATTTTCGATCCGGACAGTATTTTGAAGAAGAAAAAGTCGAACGTTCTTTAACTGGTACTCACTTCTTATCTAAAAATAAGGACTTGAACAATGGTAATTCGCTAAGGATGACGGAACAGGAAGATATTTCGTCTTGTTACTTTACGATTGAGGAAACTTGCATCCTCGGAGACCCAGGGGCAGATAATGGGGGCGAGGGAAAGTCTAAACAGGCGGGAAAATATGGCACAAAAGAAAAGTAAAGAACGGCGAGAAGAGCCCCTGGGAAAATGTCTTACTAGACCAGTTCCAAATAGCCTGCGATCATGCCCTCTCCATATTATCCCTTTATGTCTCTGACGGGAAGAGGGCATGATACATTTGTTTGTCGGATCACATGTAAAAAAGCCAGAATCTGGACTTTTTTCTGATTGCATAGGAAACAATACGGATGATTTGCGCTTTTCCGATTGGCCAAAATGCCGCCATCCGTTAGTTGTTGATGATTTCAGTCTGCATTTTTGCTTGCGTAATGAGCAGCGAATACACACGCGCGTTCGTTTTGAAATTTCTGCCGGCTCAGTTTCTTAAATTTGAAGAATGCCTAAATAGAAAATTCATCCATTGAAATATTTTCCATCTGCAGTCAAAACTTCACGGATCATTTGAATGCAATTTGATACCGGCTACAAGTTACAGAGGCGACAAACGGGTTCACGTTTATGAATGGAATGTTGACCTGGTTTGACTGTAATTCCTCCTTCAGAAATCATGCTGCGAATTATTCTGAGCGATCTTCGCGTTCACAACACCTTTCAGTTCGAGAAATATGGTGGCTCAGCCTAATTTTTTTTTCACTGCTTTCGGCACAGATGGAAGTCAACGAGCTTTAACCAGTAAAGATCAGTAAATTCTTTATTAGTTGTAGCTATTAAATAAAGGTACGGCAGCTCCAGCTAGCAGTATTTCATCGCAAAAACAATACATTAATTTTTTTTTTTAGGAAGCACCATCTGAACATGGACGTACTTAAAAATTTCCTTTTCCCTAAAACTGATTTCAAAAGAAACATTATTCGCACCAAAATTTGATTTCCGTATGGTAAACGCTTATTGGCTGATAACATGACAGGTCAAGCAGACGTTAGATTATGTAAATTAGGGGGCGGTTGACGGTTTGTTAAATAAATGTATCAGGCATTATTTTTTTCCCTCTCGAGCCAAAGAAGCAAAAAGAAAAAAAATAAATATCGCCTGATCTCAGGTTAAGTTCCAAACGGTCGCCGTCGTTCTGGCTTCTGATTGGTGCCAGAAAAACACAAGTTTTCTGGCATCATTCAGAAGCCAGAACGGCGGCGACCGTTTGGAACTGATCTAGTAAGACATTGTCACCAGGGGCTCTTCTGGCCGTTCTTTACTTTTCTTCGTGCCATATTTTTCCTCCCGTTTAGACTTTCCCTTGCCCCCACTATCTGCCCCTGGGTCTCCGAGGATGGGAAACTTGGAGCCGTTTTAAAAATAAGTTATTTTGGTCACGCTTCACTATTTTTGCCGGACTTCGATGCTTTCGTATGAAGGCTGCTTAAAAGAACCCAAGCCAATTTTCAGGTATGCTTTAGATGAATGTCTAACTGTGTGAATAAACGAGGACCGGGAAAATTTGGAGCTATACCACATGAAGAATAATGCCGCAGAAAACAACTAACAAATTAAGGTTTTTGTCACAGTAAAAACCTACATAAAACCTGTTCTTCGTTTTTGAATTATGTTAGTTCAACGAGTCTTGATATTGCTTTGAAAGTATCCTTTAGTAAAAGAAGAAGAGTTGTTCTATGTTTCTATTGATGGAAAGTGTCCAAATTTCTCCTTGCAGCTTTATTTGCGAACGCGAGGAGAGTTGATGTTAGCAAATTTCGGGTTGAAAGTACGGCCATTTTGAGACTCCGACCACGAAAAACTGATATTCCTACTTTTCTCGAAAATAAAAGGCTTTTTGCGAGAACAACTTACATCAGATTACTTATCTACCTAAAAGCTATTTGTGGACAAAAAATGAAGGAAATCGATTGTGCAACTCTTGGAACTCGTCCGCGTCGATATTTCCTGACCGTCGCTCTTAAACATAGCATTGTTAAACGTATTTTAGTATTTAAACGGTAGATGTAGGCATATTTTTATCCCCTAAAAATATAGTCATCTGTTCGGATTTCCTAGCTGAAAGTCTAGTGATCCGAAAATTATAGGGATCAAAACTTACCTTTTCGAAAATTTCAGCCAGAAAAAAAGGTTCCCGAAAATTCTAGGTGACCTTTTTAGGGGAAAAATCCTATAAAAATGGGCAATTATGCCATTTATTAGATGTTCAAAAATCCTAGGAGAGGAAGGCAGGCAAGAAATTTTACAAAAAATGTTCCGAAAATTCTAGATCTCAAATCGTCTTCCGAACAGATATTTTCCGAAAATTTATGTTGGGTCAGCCCCT